CACTCCAGTGAGCTGCATCAGAAATTCAAGTTGAGATAATAACGGCATAAATAATTTAAACATATACTACATATACATTGGCACTACTGTATCTATGGCAAATAAAATCTATTCTTAAACTGCTCAATAACATCATGAGAGAATATGAACTACACACCAGCAATTTACTATACAGTAAAATGTTACAGGTCATGTCCACACACCTACCATTTGTCATTTTTGATAAGAAATATTCTTTGATATTAAATTTTAGTAATTGGTCTCTGCAAAATTTTTGAGACTTAAAAAACACACTCATAAACCACCATAATTTCTTTCACATAATGGAAATTCAGTAAATATTTCATATTAAGTGTAGTAAGAGCTGTCTTTTTTTCTCTACCTTGCTAGTTAAACACTAATTATTTCAAAAACTAAAAGGACAGGACAATTTATTTATCACTATAATCAATGGCTTTGGAGTCAGAAGGTAGCTATGATTTCTAAGTAATGCTAGAAAGAACAAGTTCTGGGTAATTACATGTCCTCTACCTGTAATTCCAGTTATAAATATGACAATACTGACATGATTTGCTCATATTTCTTAATAAAATAGCTTTCCCCATCTTTAAATTACATATTGATTTGCATAAGAGTTGAATCAAATACTATGAAACATTGTTGTAATCTCAATTGTTAGCTTGTGTGTTTTACTCTGACATCCATGGGAGTTTGATATAATGGACTTACTATCTCCCAATATACCTGGTGCCAGATTTTCTTAGTCTATCTCAATTTGAACAGTCAACCCCTAGGCAAATTCTCTCATGTCCAGGGTATTTCACACTGACTCACCTTTGTGCTTGTTCTTTTCCTGGAAGATTATGTGTGTGTGTGTGTGTGTGTGTGTGTGTGTGTGTCCTATATTTACCTAGGGAACACTTACTCATCATTTTAGACTCTATAAGCAACGCCTTCTTATCTCCTTAGAGTATTCCTGCCTTTCCTCCTTGCCAAATGGGGTATTTGTTTACACATTTGACTCATTGACTAGACAATAAAGTACTCGAAGACATGCCTTATTCATCATGTAAGATGCACCTATCATAACAGATTAAACATCATGGCTTCTCAATAAATTCGGATGAATCAAATAACTTCATAGGTGAGTCTATATTTTACACCATAGTTCTTAACTTTTCCCCTCTTTTTGCCCATGAATTTCTGTACAAAGTCAAATGTGCACACACAAATTTTTAAATAAGTCATACTTCTAAGTCCACTTTAGAAATATTACATAAATCGAGGATCAGCAGGTGGCATGGTGGTTAAGGTGCTGGACACTCCCACATGACCAACCATGGTTTGAGTCCCAGACCTGGTGACTTGCTTTCTTACTTTCCCTCTCTCTCTTTCTCTGTATCTCTCTCTCTAGAGTCAAATTAAAATAAATGAATGAATAAATAAATAATATTAAATAAATAATTCTTTACAAAAAGAAGTATTACATAAATCATTGTCGAATCAACTCATCAAAAGTGTTGTCTAAGAAGAAAAACTAAAAGCAATTATCTAGCTTCTAAAATTTATAAGTTCCTATAACATTCTTCAGGTATTTCATAAGTATCCATTATTTGCCTCTCTCTCTCTCTCTCTCTCTCTCTCTCTCTCTCTCTCTTTTACATCAGTATAACTAGTAATAAAAATCTTAAAGTAAATTAGTTTTGATAGTTACTTTTAAATTATTGTAAAATTCTTACATCTTACAGTTTTTTAATATGAAGATTCAATGAAATCTGAACACAAGAATAAGAAAGATAATAAATGCATATTGGAACAAGCAGTTGGTGTAATGGTTATGTCACTGGACTCCCATGTAGTAGACCACAGTTCGAGTCCCAGACCCGATGGCATAAAATCACGCCAGGCACATGTACATGTCTAAGATCCCTAGAGGAGAACGGAGAAGGGATTGCAGCATGGCCATCTCTGCTGGGAGGTGATTTCTTGCTTTCTGGCTCTCTGTCTCTCTCTTTCTGGCGAGCATATGTGCCCCATAGCAAAATCCTCTAAAAAAAAAAAATGCATATCAACTTTAATACCAAAAGTTTAAAGTAAGCTTCAATAAGGTATGAAATATATAGTTTTCCATCTTTCTCCCAAAAACACTGATAAAAGAGACTTGTTTGGAGCTGGCACAGGGCATATTGGTTAGAGCGCTGGATTCCCACATGCAGACCACAGTTAAAATCCTGGACCTGGTAGCAAACTTTCTTACTTTCCCTCTCTCTCTCTCTCTCTCTGGTCAAATTAAAAGTAAATGAATAAATTTTTTTAAAAAAATGTTTAAGATATTGAAACCTAGAAAACACTATTCTGTGAATAACATTGTACCTTCTCTAAAATAAGAATAAAGCAGTGATAGTAATGACAACCAATTATGTAGAGATTAAAAAGAAATAGTCACTAATCTAAGCATTGTGTGTGTGTGTGTGTGTGTGTGTAATACATATATATATATATAAATTCAACAGTATGTGCTATTATTACACCTATATTTGAGATAAACGAATTTTTTTGCAACAGAAAAAAGAAACTTACTGAATCAATACACTATCATTGCTGTTCCTTAATATTTATAAACACTGAATCATAGACATTATCAGTGTGTGAAACTAAGGCCATTAAAGAAAAGAGACAATCTTTGACTGGCACAGCACTCCAGTGAGCTGCATCAGAAATTCAAGTTGAGATAATAACGGCATAAATAATTTAAACATATACTACATATACATTGGCACTACTGTATCTATGGCAAATAAAATCTATTCTTAAACTGCTCAATAACATCATGAGAGAATATGAACTACACACCAGCAATTTACTATACAGTAAAATGTTACAGGTCATGTCCACACACCTACCATTTGTCATTTTTGATAAGAAATATTCTTTGATATTAAATTTTAGTAATTGGTCTCTGCAAAATTTTTGAGACTTAAAAAACACACTCATAAACCACCATAATTTCTTTCACATAATGGAAATTCAGTAAATATTTCATATTAAGTGTAGTAAGAGCTGTCTTTTTTTCTCTACCTTGCTAGTTAAACACTAATTATTTCAAAAACTAAAAGGACAGGACAATTTATTTATCACTATAATCAATGGCTTTGGAGTCAGAAGGTAGCTATGATTTCTAAGTAATGCTAGAAAGAACAAGTTCTGGGTAATTACATGTCCTCTACCTGTAATTCCAGTTATAAATATGACAATACTGACATGATTTGCTCATATTTCTTAATAAAATAGCTTTCCCCATCTTTAAATTACATATTGATTTGCATAAGAGTTGAATCAAATACTATGAAACATTGTTGTAATCTCAATTGTTAGCTTGTGTGTTTTACTCTGACATCCATGGGAGTTTGATATAATGGACTTACTATCTCCCAATATACCTGGTGCCAGATTTTCTTAGTCTATCTCAATTTGAACAGTCAACCCCTAGGCAAATTCTCTCATGTCCAGGGTATTTCACACTGACTCACCTTTGTGCTTGTTCTTTTCCTGGAAGATTATGTGTGTGTGTGTGTGTGTGTGTGTGTGTGTGTGTCCTATATTTACCTAGGGAACACTTACTCATCATTTTAGACTCTATAAGCAACGCCTTCTTATCTCCTTAGAGTATTCCTGCCTTTCCTCCTTGCCAAATGGGGTATTTGTTTACACATTTGACTCATTGACTAGACAATAAAGTACTCGAAGACATGCCTTATTCATCATGTAAGATGCACCTATCATAACAGATTAAACATCATGGCTTCTCAATAAATTCGGATGAATCAAATAACTTCATAGGTGAGTCTATATTTTACACCATAGTTCTTAACTTTTCCCCTCTTTTTGCCCATGAATTTCTGTACAAAGTCAAATGTGCACACACAAATTTTTAAATAAGTCATACTTCTAAGTCCACTTTAGAAATATTACATAAATCGAGGATCAGCAGGTGGCATGGTGGTTAAGGTGCTGGACACTCCCACATGACCAACCATGGTTTGAGTCCCAGACCTGGTGACTTGCTTTCTTACTTTCCCTCTCTCTCTTTCTCTGTATCTCTCTCTCTAGAGTCAAATTAAAATAAATGAATGAATAAATAAATAATATTAAATAAATAATTCTTTACAAAAAGAAGTATTACATAAATCATTGTCGAATCAACTCATCAAAAGTGTTGTCTAAGAAGGAAAACTAAAAGCAATTATCTAGCTTCTAAAATTTATAAGTTCCTATAACATTCTTCAGGTATTTCATAAGTATCCATTATTTGCCTCTCTCTCTCTCTCTCTCTCTCTCTCTCTCTCTCTCTCTCTCAAGTTTTTTGCCATAGCTCTCATGCACTCATAGGAAAGACACAGAGAGTGAAAGAGAGAAATCAGCCCCTGGGGGATGATCCCTTCTCCTTTCTCCTCTCAAGAGTTTGGACACACACACACACACACACACACACACACACACACTAAACCATAGCAGTGTAATTTTCAACTCGCCAGGTTCAGGGCTTAAGCCATGGTCCGCCGTGTGACAGGCCAGCACACTAGCCACTACACCACCTGCTGGTTTCTGAATTACTTTCTTTAATTACATAATTATAAGATAATTTACATGAGTTATAGACATAGTCAACTTTTTGAGTTCACAACATGTGGTACACTTAGGGGACCTGAGAGTCCATGCTGAATTCTCTCATAGGTTTATGTAGGATAGGTTTCTACAGCATTGCTTTCTCCTTCTCTGCATTTAAATTATAACGTGATTTAGTACTGCAAGCAAATATATACAATTGAGTTACTTCCATATAAGTTCTGACGAAATAAAATAAATATTTTCTGCCTCAAAGGAGGAAGAGGATGAAGTTGACTAACCCATCTGGAATTCTTCTTCAGGTCTACTACTTCAACTAAATCATCTTAAGTTTTATTCCCTATAAACATTTCAGAGTAAACATAGCTACTTACTTTTCAGGGTTTTCTACTTCTTCAGTAACAAAATTGAGGTAAAACCTGAAAATACAGCAAAGATTTACACCGTGTGAATATATTCCACAATTACTGTACGAGATATAACTTTAGATATTTAAAATTGAATTCAGAATTATGAAAACTTTGAGATGGAAATATGCAATGACCAAAACCTCACACATGCCATTTTTCTACTAAGCCATATCTGTGGAGTGCTTACCATATGTCAAACGCTGATGCTATGAAAGAGGAAAAGTTCATAATCACTTTCTGCAAGGAGCTCAGAGTTCAGAGAATGGCCCCGAGACTGGTGTGCTACCATGGGCCAGGCAGTGCCAGAGCAAGCACCAGAGCCAGAAGGGAGCTCTACTACACCCTGGTAGGTGAGGGGTTTTTCTAGACAAGGGATCACCCAAGTTGAGCCTTCAAGTATGGTTGACCTTTAGCCCTGAGGAGGTGATATGGGGACGTTTCAGACTGAATATAACACAGAAGCGTGGTGGAGTGGTTATGCACAAAAACAAGAGCAACAATTTAGTATTCTGCAACACAAAATATGGCAGAGGGGGTCAGCCCCGTGGCCTAGTGGTTAAAGGAGCTGAATCCCACATGACCAACCACAGTTTAAATTCTGCCCAGTGGCTTGAAAAACACATTAGGTCCATATGTGCATGTATGCCTCACATCCCAGCAGGATGGAGAAATGGAGGAGAAGGGATTACAGCATGGTCATGTCCCATTAGGAGGTGGGCAGTACTCTCTCCCTCTTCTTCTCTGTCTCTCTGGCAAGGGCAAAAGCCTTCTGGCAATACAAGAAAAAAACACAAAACCAACAAACAGGGGAAAAAAAGTGTGGTAGAGGGAGCACAAATAGAATTTAAGTACAAGATGACTTTTTTTTAAGACTTATTTATTTTTAGTTTTATTTATTATCATTATTCTTCAATTTTGACCAGAGAAAGACAGACAGAGAGAAAGGGAGAGTGAGAAAGGAAGCCACCAGATCTAGGACTCAAACCATGGTCAGCCATGTGGGAGTCCAATGCCTCAACCACCACACCACCTGCCAGCCCCCAAGATGGCCTTTGACTTCTGGGAATCCAAATGTTAGTGATGGAGACAAGTCACATTGTCACATCAAAAGTAGCATTTCTCAGATTTAAGGAACTGTTATTGGCGTCCTAGATATAAATACAGTAGACAAGACAGAACCCAAAATGGTGTTGTTTAAAAGATGATATTCACACTTCTTCCTTTCAGTTCACTCTTTACCAGCAAGCAGCCAAAACCACCTCAAGCGCAAGACTATGAAGTCCCCATGTCTCTTTTTTGTGTTTTAGGCAGTTAATTTTTGACACATTTTTAGTCATTATATCTTACGTTGACAACTAAAGAGCTGGAAATTTTGAACATTTCCCAAGTCCTGAACATGTCTCTGGATTTCTTATCTGACAAGAAGCATTCTATGTACATAATATTTCTCTTCTAAGGTCCATAGGATTGCAAAGTTTTTGGTTTTGTTTTTTGAGAGAGAGATTTTTGCTATAGGGCATGTGCAATCACCAGAGACAGAAAGTGACAGAGAGACAGAAAGTGAGAAATCATCCCCAGGGGTGATGGCCATGCCACAATCCCTTCTCCATTCTCCTCTTGATTTCTTGGGCATGCACAAATACATGCCTGGCGTGAGTCTTAAGCCACCAGGTCTGAGACTCAAACTGCAGTCAAATACATGCGAATCCAGCAACGTAACTATTATGCCATCTGCTGGTCCCAGGATTGCAAATATTACCTCAAATGTCAGGGTGCTAGGGAAATTCAGATTTCATTTTCTCTTTCTCTCTTTCTCTCTTTCTTCCTTTCTCTCTTTCTTTCTTCCTTTCTCTTTTTCTTTCTTCCTTTCTCTCTTTCTCTCTTTCTTTCTTTCTTTCTTTCTCTTTCCTTTGTGATTACCAAGCAAATGCCTCCCACCTGGCCTTCCTGACCTTTCTCCAGGGGACTACAGGAGACCCTTTCATCACCTCACTAGTTCTCTCTTCAGGGTCCATGGTGTAAGGCTGAGGTGGACTTCATCTCAAAGGACTGCATACAGAACTGCATCATGGAAATGGGAGAGCTAAAGGATCCTCTGCACATACAACAGCAAAGACGTTTCTATTTCTCTATTGTGTATGCTGAGAAAATTTTTCACAGAATAAATAAGTCATATGTTCATTAAACCCTCCCATTATTTTATTACTCCCTAGAAGGCAAAACTAATCTTTTCCATAAGAACACAGATGCACCAGTCTACGAGAACAAATTCTGTACGATGGAAAACCAAACTGTGCCAAGTCATGGCACAACGGAAATGCAACTGGACCCACTTGGGAAAGGTCTAGGGTCCGTCTTCTAAGACCTTCCTGAGCACCGTAGGCCTGAGTAACACACCCATGGTTCCGAGCTGACTGCTACTCTATCTGGATGGTGGCAGGAACGATCCTATTGGGCATCTCTTTTTTCTCTCTCTCTTCCTTTTGGAAGAAATAAATAAACTTTAAAGAATATAAAACCAAATAGCTGTAATATGAATTGGCCCATTAGACTTTAATATATTTAAAGTATCTTAAGCCTGAAACAAAGATGAGAAAATCTTCCTTCATCTTTATAAAATCTCATTTAGTTCCTAAGTAGGCAGTTGTGTTCAAGGCTCAGGTGTCTATTTTAAGGGCTATGTTTTACATAGCAACATTTGAAAAGCGAAGTGAACAGTGGTAATAAAGGTGATCTGAAAAGACAGCAGTCAAGGATTTTATTTTTAATAACTAGAAAGTAAGTCTCTAAAAATAGAGATTGTGCTTATACCAGGAAAGCGAGCCACAATCAGTACTATATCTGGAATACGCACTCCAAGAGGAATTTGATGTGTTTGTTAGAAGCCTGAGGCAAAAGGAAATATGGGAAGAAAATGGGGGACAAAAAACAAGACAACTTAAAAAAAAATACTAATAAATATTTCTAGGCTCCTCATGTCAAAAATAGTTTGTGCCTTCTTAGTTGTTTTAGACACTGATCTTCTCTAACAATATTAAAGCAAGAAAGGAAATATTAATGAACAAAGAATACAGTTTCAAATATTTACCATAGCTCCAGAGAATAGAGAAAAAGCAAGGACTTGGGGCAGGGCTGGGGAGTAGGAAGGAGAAAGCTTATTTTAGTCCAAACATTCGCTTCCTCAGGGAAATCCACCTTCATGCTCTCCTAGTCTCCAACAACAAGTCCATAGTATTCTCCTTGGTTTACATCTGTTCAAGGCCTCTGGAGACGTTCACAGAATCTATTGTTCCAGCTTCTTCCTGATTGTGCCTACCAGCCACTGCAGCACCAGCAATTTATTCCAATAGCCAACTATGTGAATTATGTTAAAAAGAAGCTTATTCTTTAGAGTAGATTCGACACAATGGTACAAAATAATCCCAGCAGGTCTTTTCAAAAGACGAAATCCATCGAGGATAAGATTTTAAGAGAGAGCAAAAAAGACACTGCAAACAATTTTCTATCACACGGTTTAAAAAATCCCATCAAGCAATAGCCAACTTCAGATCAGGATATGGGACTGAAATTGGTTGAGTTCCCCAGGGCCACAAGAAGGACTGGCAGGTGTAGTTCTCTGCACACAGATGTCGGCCTGAAGTTGTTCTCACCCAAACTCAGTGACCTGGCTCGGATGATTTCTTTTAATCCTGATTTTGTGAGGAGTTTTCATCATTCTAGAAAGGATGCTCAGGACCAACGTCTACTCTATTCAGATTCCCCAAGGTTTGGTGGTCTCTTTTTCCTATGCCACTCCCGGGAGTTGAACTGCCAACGGTAAGGTCCCAGGATGATAGTGGTCTTGTTGCTGTTGACTTAGATTCTCCCAGGCTGTCTCACTCGCTTGCAATACCCCTATCATGTATTTGTTTTGTTATGCTTTTGTCTCGCATTGTCACAGCGGCATAGGGAGTGGTGGCTCAGTTACAGCCCCCCATTTATAATTCTACAAGCCAGTCTTGTAATTATATCATGAAAGGGGGACCAGCAGTTAGCGTAATGGCTATGTCGCTGAACTCCCATGTAGCAGACCACGGTTCGAGTCCTGGACCTGGTAGCTTAAACTTACGCCAGGCGTGTGTGTGTGTGCCTAGGATCCCGAGAGGAGAATGGATGAGAAGGGATTGCAGCATGGCCATCCCCTCTGGGGGGTGATTTCTCGCTTTCTGTCTCTCTGTCTCTCTCTCTGTCTTCCTGGTGAGCGCACATGCCCTATAGCAAAAACCTCTCCAAAAAATTATATCATGAAAGATGAAAGATGTCAGGAAAGCAGGGGTCACATTTGGAACTATGTCGCTGAACTCCCATGTAGCAGACCACGGTTCGAGTCCTGGACCTGGTAGCTTAAACTTACGCCAGGCGTGTGTGTGTGTGCCTAGGATCCCGAGAGGAGAATGGATGAGAAGGGATTGCAGCATGGCCATCCCCTCTGGGGGGTGATTTCTCGCTTTCTGTCTCTCTGTCTCTCTCTCTGTCTTCCTGGTGAGCGCACATGCCCTATAGCAAAAACCTCTCCAAAAAATTATATCATGAAAGATGAAAGATGTCAGGAAAGCAGGGGTCACATTTGGAAGGTGAATGAAGGCCCCCTTCTGGAAATTCTAGCCGTCACCTTGTTCCATGTACATCCAGATAATAACTTTTCCTCTGGAATGCCAAACCAACACAGCCCACTTTTTCTAAGACCGATGGGCACTGACTAGCAACCAGATTATTTCCACCTCTTCACAAAGCAGCATTCAGGCACAATGTGTCACTGAAACACGGTTACTTATCTGTCCCCTACATATGCCACTTGTCTCTGAAAATGTTCCATTTAAAACCCTAGACTTATTTTCCAGTACTGTGATTGACCTTTGAAGAACATAAGGAAACTGGAGCCGACAGGTAGCGCAGTGGTTAAGGGCGCTGGATTCCCACTTGGTCGGCCACAGTTTGAGTCCCAGACCTGGCAGCTTGCTTTCTCATTTTCCCTTTCTCTCTCTCTGGTCAAATTAAAGAAGCAATAATAACAAATGGAATTAAATAAATAAAATAATTGCTAAAAAAATAAAAAACAGAATATAAGAAAATCAACAGTTCCTAGGTCTTTAAAACAGGAAATAGATGTGAGGATTATATGGGTAAAAATAGAAGGTTCTTGTAAATGCCTGTTACCCAGTAATCAGAGTCACATTTTCAAATCAGCATCAATAAAATAAATATTAATTAGATAATCAAAAAAAAAAAAGAAAAAAGTGCTTGGGCCAGCCTCATAGCCTAGTGGCTGAGAGAAGCTGGATCCCACATGACCAACTGCAGTCTGAATCCCAACCCCACTGGCTCGAAAAACACTCTGGATACGTGTGCATGTGTGCCCCAAATCCTGAGAAAACGGAGAAGTAGAGAAGGGGTGGTGGGATGACCATGCCATGCTAGGGGGTGTTTCCTCCCTCTTCCTCCCCCTTTCTGTGTCTCTCTTCCTTTCCGGTGAGCACATGTGCCCTCTGGCAAATAAAAATCCTGAACATAGTCCCTTGTATAAGAACTCTCTCGGCCTTCAAGAGCCCACAGAAATAAAGAAAATTGGCTCTCCGTGAGGCAGGTGACCTGAATATTCACAGCTAGGTAGTGGAGGAGTGGGGAGAGTAGAACAATTTAAGATTTCGTGGGAACAGATGCACAGTACTCACAGGCCAAAGAAACTCCATTCAACAGAATTAATCAAATCTCCCTTGTGACCATCTCCACATTCCACATTCCTGGTGAGTATCGCTGGGCTCCCCACACTTGGCTGTAGCTGAAAGCGTTTGCTACCTCCCCACTTTGCTCTGGCGTCTTCCAGTGACCCTCCCCACAGCTTGGCCGTAGCCCCAGGGCATAGAGCTCTGATCCAGGCTGAATAGCCCTAGAATAGTTGATTTTGCTTCTAACCCTGTGATCACACTCAGTTCTTTTTCTCTGCCTAGCACCTCATTGTGCTTTGGACAAAAATAAAAAGACTTCAAAAATACTGAGGGATTCAAAACTAACGCGTACACACAAGGCTATAAAAACTTCTGGGAATGTTCACATACTTTACAGTGATCTTAGAGCGGCAATCTTCGGACAACCTTCATACCGACGTTACTTCAGAGCCATGTTAAGATGTTAAGTTCCTATACACTGCTATGTCTCCTTTAATACTATGTTTTCATAATATGATGAAGTGAATAGGGTACCTATTCCATTTATTTTGAAATACAGCTTTCTCTTCCATTCGTTTAACTCGATGGCAAGATCCTAAAAACTAAAGAAACTAAAGAAAACTCTGTTTTGTGTTAGAAATGCGTTTACATAATTTTGAGCTAGTATAGTTTCCTGATATTATTTTAGGCTCACAGAATATTCTCACAGGACAAACTATATAACTGTTAGTTCTATAAGTAATTAGAAAGAAATATTTCCGTAATTTACTCCAAAGCCATGAACGTTAATCTTACTACACTGATTTTGATGTCTAAGTAACGCTTTTGTACACGGTGGGCTTTGTTACAACAGCACTTCCATGGAATCTTACTAGGTCACTACCTTTTAGCGAGGAAAATTCATCTATGATTATTCTTATTCAAGTGTCTCAACGAAGCACCAGAAACACAAGTGTTCAATGCCTTCACCAGGCCAGTAGATATCCCAAATGGATCTGCATTAAAGGAAATGTATCCGAGGCACCATGACTTTAGTCATCTTTACTGCATATATTTGTTTCCAGATGTTTGAGAAAATTTAAGGAACCTGTGAGGTCCTTTCCAATGTGACAGATTTATTTCATTATGTTGTTTTCCCCTTCCCTGAGTTCAGAGTACCATTTTACCACCTGGGAATGTCTTACTTATGTCTGTATCTGAACTATTTCTTCTTGAGGGAAGAGGGAACAAATCAATTAATCACTATATGTAAATATTCTTGGCAATTCAACTGAAAGACTTTCTAATCAACAAGGTACTAATCTTTAGTACTTTATGGCTCTACTGTGTCCTGACAGATACGTATATGTAAGTGTATATCTAAGACGTAGGGTTTGTTTGTGATGGCAGGAGCTAAATCTAATGCTTACCTTGACTGGAAATCTGAGTATGTTTGCATGGCCATGTGCATAGCAATAGGCCTGGCAGAAGGGTCCCGGTCATATTTCTCATTTCAAGTAAAGCATACTAGATGGGATTGTGGCCACTCAAAATGGCCTATCACCTTTCTTGGCATGTAATCAAAGTGAGTTAATTATTAATGCTCAAGAGAGTTAATAGACGACACAAACCACCAATTCTGGAGATAACAACTTACCAGCCAGCATATGCATACATTCCATAATAAAATGCCAGGGGCAACCCCATAAGACTTGCATCTCTTCCAGAAAAGGCATCTTTAAAGTGCTGTGTTTGCCCTGTGATTAGAACGGAAAGATTTTAAGACTTTTCAAAGAATTGGTTATTATTTACTCTTTAACCACAAACGTGGGGGTGGAGGTGGGGGGAGAAGGGAGAACTATGCTGTTTTAGCCCCAGATTTCTTACTCTCTCTTCATAGCCAGCTTTAGTAACATCACCATACCCATTTTAGAGAGTGTTTGAAAAGTATACTGACAGGGCCAGCAGGTGGCATGGTGGTTAAAGGCACTGGACTCCCACCTGGCCAATGGTGGCTTGAGTCCCGGATCTTGCTTTCTCACTTACTCTCTCACTCTGACCCTCTCTGGTCAAATTAAAATAAATAAATAAATAAATAAGTAAAGTTAAATAAAATAACTCTTTAAAAAAAAGTATATTGACTGTCACTAATACTATTTCAGATTTTTTAATAAATCTATAGAGAAGATGAAAATGACATTTAAAGAATAATCCTTAATTTGAGTTTGTCTCCACCTTGACCATGAAAAAAGGACTATGGTATTTTTCTGTAAACTATCATTTTAACAGTGTGATAGAATTCTTAAGGTGATGATAATATATCATTTGGCAAGAAATGCAAAGAAATATCCAAGGGTCTATCTTCAATGAGGAGGTAGCAAGACTCCCCATAACCACCTTCCCACATCACTTAACTTCCTGCTTTCTGATTATCTTTTGTAGTTCATTAGACACCTAACTTCTAGAACAGGGTTGGAAAACCCTGCAGAACAAATCTGCCATCCTGACCAAGGAGCCCTTTTTGTAAATAAAGTTTTATTTGAGCACGGCTGCACCTGCACTGCAGTATTGTCTATGCCTGATTTCACCCTTACTACATTCTGAGTTTATTCATTGCCATAGGGACCACACAACCCTCAACGTTGAAAATAGTTATTATCAGAACCAGCAGATGGTGTAACAGTTACATAGCTGAACTCTTGCATAGTGGACCGCAGTTCGAGTCCCAGATCTGGTGGCTTAAAACTCACTCTAGGAACGTGTGTATGTGTGTGCCCAGAATTCCAAGAGGAGAGTAAAGGAGAAGGGATTATGTCGTGGCCATCCCCTTCCAAGGGGTGATTTCTTGTTTTCTGTTTCTGTCTCTCTGGCAATGCTCATAGCAAAAATCTCTCTCTAAAAAAAAGAAAAAAATGAAAAGAAAAATAGTTACTATCTCCTAACAGGGAAAGTCCACTGACATGCTCCTAGCAAATGGCACAGTTTCCTTTTAGAAATGAAAAGAAATTATATTGAACTCTAGAATAAATAGTCTTCAACAAATTTTGCATCAATATGCAGATTGAATACTGTCATTACATTTTTTTTTCTATTTTATGAATTACAATAGGCCTTTTTCTTGAATAGCTTTAGAATAGTTTAAAAAACTAGAAATTCAGATTGATTTTAGTCATCCAATAGTCAAACGTGGGTGGGGGAGGACTCTGTTTCACAAAGATAATAACAAAATGATTACTCAGGTGGGAAAAGTGACTTTGTTGCAAAATTGGTCTTCATATAAATAAACAGAAGAGGGATGGATGTAGATGACATATATAAGATACCCTCTCCTCAAAGTCAAGGCACGCTTTTGCTCATATTGCCCAGACATAGCATACGTATTTATGTATTTGAGATTAGAGGCCAATTTTGAAGAAATTTAGTTTATTTTTTTAAAATGATATTGTGAATTCAGAAGTCACCATTTTACTGAAAAATTTCTGTGTCCTTATAAAAGAGAAGTATAAATACTAGATTTTAGCTCAAAGCATGTTAAATATTGTTTTATAGTGTTCGATGCTCTCTTCAGCATAAAGAGATTTTACAGAAGCCTAATGAGTTAGGCTGGGAAAAGAAGCTCTAGCAAAACAGAGTGCTTTGTCTCCACTCCTAATGAATAAGCTAGAATCAGAGAAGACCAGCTCTGTGGAGGCCAAGATGAATTTCACATTTATCTGAACAGCAACCTCATGTCTTCTCTTCAGTGTAAGCTGTATTGCTCAAAATCTTCATTGTGTTTATTCTGGGACCAGCAGGTGGCATGGTGGTTAAGACACTGGACTCCCACATGGGCGACCACAGTTCGAGTCTCAGACCTGGCAACTTGGTTTCTCAATTTCTCTCTCACTCTCTGTCTCTTTCTGTCTCTCTTTGATGAGTACACATGCCCTGCAGCAAATTAAAAAATAATAATAGTGATAAATAAAATTAAATAAATAATTATTTTAAAAAGAGAGAGAGAGAGAGAATATTCCTCAGAGTATAGCACTGAATAGGCAATAAAAGAAACCTCAACTATGCAAAGACTAGGTTACCAGCACAGATCTTCAAAAGTAAGTGCCATTTGGAGAGCATTACAAAAGAGAAGCATTTCATGTCTAAACTTCAGGAATATTTTGCCTGTATAACAGAGGTCTCAGGAAGATGAAAGCCAGTATGTTCAAAGGACAGTTCAATAAATCCTCATGAATGAATACATAACATACATCTATATCCATATCTGATTAGAGATAAATGAACAGTCTGCATTAGCAAAGTCTTTCTCGTCCTTGAATTTCAGAAAAATGTGAAAAATATGCGATCGTTTTAGAAATAAGGGGAATCACAACTTTATAGTGAATAGCGTAAAAATACTTAAGAATGCTCTCAAGATATTAGAAATTTACCTTAAACATTAGTAATAGTCTCAGGGAATGTCTCTGTTGGGTAAAATCTATAAAGAAGCCTGGGTATATCAAACACTGAGATCAAAAGTCATTTTGTTGTAATTCCTGAGAAAGATCTAAGAGCTATATCCTGACCTCTGCTCTCAAGGAATTTGTAATACAATAACTTTTGGTCAACTGACTATCACTTCATAGGAATATATAAAACAAAAGATTGACTAGTCTTACATAACAATGAAAAGGAAAAAAACAACCAGAAAACAAGTTTTAATTTCAAAGACTAGTGTAGCAGCATATCATCTTTAGAATCTAAACTAGGACTGAAAAGGGGACCATGACTCAGGGTCTCTGTACTTCCTAAATGCTAAAGAGACATCTTACAGAAGACTAAAGAGTTAGGCTGGAAAAGGAAGCTCTTACAAAAGCAGAGTACTTTGCCTCCATTTCTAATGAGTAAGCTAGATCAGAAAAAGGCCAGCTCTGTGGAGGCCAAGATGAATTTCACATTTATCTGAAGAGCAAGCTCATGGTCTTCTCTTCAGTGCAAGCTCTCCTGTTCAAAATCTTCGTGGTGTTTATTCTGAGTTGGCAAGGTTGCTGGATTTGATGAAAGCCTTTGCCAGCAGGGCTCTAAGATCCCCTACTAGGCTTATTTAATGGTCAACAGCAGCCACCCTTTCCCAGCTACAGAGCGACTGATCTTTCAGTGTTTGTTATTGTTTAATGCCTCCACCAGCAGAGATGATTTTGCTGTACTTTGGCATTTCCTTTTGCCTTGAGTAATTATTCTCCTCCAACGCCATTAAATTTCTCTATAAATTCCCTCTCTTGGAACAGATGATTTCAATGTAAACATTAAATATTTAAGATGCCCAAGTTATATATCACTCCTTCATCATTTCTTTTCACGTTCCCATTTATTTCCTACTCTACTGCTCGTTTCTAATTAAATAACTCATGTGGATCCCTTTCTTTTCCAGAAATGTCTACTGAATCCAAACAAATGCATGTGTCTTCTTCCCTAAAACAACCAAAATACAAAGCGACATCACCCTCCAATTTCTTTTCTCGAATTGTAAACTCTCTATAAGGCAAAGAATCCTAGAAAATATTACATGTCTGCAGAAATCCAAATTGTACATGAAAACTAACCTAACAATAAAATGAAGCTTTTACTTAAAAATAAATAAATAAATAAATAAATAAATAAAGTAGCTATTGTGCATGTGCACTCACCAGAGAGAGAAAGAGATGGGAGAAGAGAGGGAACGTGAGAAATACCCCCATCCGCATCAGGTGACCACACAATAATTCTTCTCTAATTCTCCTCTTGGGATGGAAAAACACATGGTGTGTTTTTTCAAGCCACAGGCTACAGGACTCAAACCACACGGTTGGACATATGGGACTCAGTGCCTTACCCACAATGCAAACAGCTGGCCCTATAACTACTTTTATTATCATAGAATATTTGGCTTTCAAAAATGTTATTCCCATCTCTGACTCCCCTTTTGAAGATACCACTCTCAAAGAAAAAGAAATAATAAATGGAAAGTAAAAGAACTATTGATCATCTTCCATTATCTTCAGATTTCTTTTTCATCTTTATTATTATTATTATTGAACAATTTAAAGTAACAGTAAAAGGATATATTTATTTCTAGTTAAAACTAAATGACAGTTTAAAAAAAAAAACTTTTGAGTTTTTACTCCACTTTATACTAAGAGAATTCACTGACACCTTATTTTGTTGCTTGGCCATCTTAATCCTCTCGCTGCCATTCAACTGTAAATATGTACTTACCCCCAAAGTAGCAGCTTTCAAATCAATTAGATGACAGTATAGAGTTTAAGTTCCACTAGCAGAGACTAATTAAGGATTCTGCTAGGACAAGCGAAAGTTAGTGCTAGAGGAGACCAAAAGCAGATACGTAGTTTAAAAAGCATTTACTTTTCAGTCCATACCTTTAATTAGCTGCATAACTCCAGGGACTATAATTATCAGAATTGCTGTGAGCTTGCAAAAGGTTAGGAAAATCTGGATCCGGGCACTCCAGCTGACACTCATGCTATTTAGAACCATCACTATAGCTGCAAACAAATAGACAAAGTTACAAAAGGCAAATTCTCATTGGCATGAAGACATCTCAGATCCTCGTTCCCAAAAGTGCACTCTATGAACTAGCAACCTACAAGTCTTTCAGAAATGCAGAATCTCAGGCCCTACCCCAGACATAATAAATACAAGTTTACATTTTGACAAGACCTCCGGGTGATTTTTAAGGCATGTAAAAGTTCTAGAAGCTTGGATAAGACCACTGGACAGAAAGACTCTCACTCCTGTTCTTTCTTCATGTCAATAAAAATGGACATACACTATAGTGCTGTAACAATTATGTAAAAATATCTTCTAACCGAAGTGTGGAGTCATCATAGCGTGCGATCGGATTGCCGCATTTGACACTAGCTTGATATGACACTTCCCACCTCCATGATGGCATGTCTGCCAGTGTGGATCATACTCCGGAGGGGCGAGAAGGAGAGAAGTTGGCTGGGATCTTATTCTCTCCCCTCAGGACTAGGCTTTGCCAGCCCTTCTCTTTTCAGTTTTCCTGTCCATTTCCAATTAGCACATCAAAGGGTGACTTTCAACCTACCCTAAAAATACAGATTTCCAAGATATGTTTTGGAACTTGAGCAAAACGTCCTAAGTGAGGAGCCAAAAAGAGTTCCCAGACTAGAATGCACATGCTCAAAGCCAGCAGAACTTCCCATTATTATTATTTTTCTTCTTCCTTTTTTTTTTCTTTTCTTTTTTTGCTACAGGGTATATGCTCTATATTTGCCAGAGAGAGAGAGTGAAACAGAGAAGGTGAAAAAGCACCCACTAAAGGGTAATGGCCATGCTGCAATCTCTTCTCTTCTAATCTCTCAGGATTTAGGGCATGTACACATACATGCCTGGCAAGATCTTCACATCACCAGGTGTAGGACTAGAACCACACAGTTGGCTGTGTGTGATCCAGCACCTCACCTTCATGCCACTTGCTGGCCCATGGAGTTTCCCATTCTGAATGATGCCACCCTACAGTTTTCTAAGCAGCAATCACTACCTACCCTCCCCACTATCATTCTCCTCAAAGACCACGAGAACTTTGAAGATAAATTACAAGGGTTATTCATACCTGGCACAGGCAGATCATTGACACGTTATTTGTTGAATAAATGAATTAGACCCTCAGTTTAAACAACTACCTTCAACTAAGGAAATATAAGCCAAATGACTGATGCTCTAAGACCTTCCTTCTGACACTTGAGGAAATGACTCCTGTTACACTTGACTACGAAATAAATTCTGCACCCTTTCCAAAACCTTGATTAGCAACAAAAACAAAACTACTTCATCCCTCACATTTGCAATTATTATCTGTAAGTAGTGTTTTTAGAAAGATGTATTTCCCTCTAAGCAAATATCAAAACTGTATTAATACATTTCTCAGGAGATAAAAGAAAATTTTTGCAGATTCCTGTAATTCACGATGCAATTGAAAGTTCTCCTTATGTACAATAATAAGAGTTATCTACTTAGTTTTCATTGCCTGTTGGAATTACTAGCTTGTTTACGAATTTAAGAATTGATGCCAATGTTACCAACACATAATATTGAGTTGTTGGAAAAGTCATGACACAGAAAAATATGCCATGACTTTTCTGATGACCCAATATGCCCTGGTAAAAATTTTTAAGCAACCTAGACCCCTAATTAAGATACATCCTTTTAAAGTTTATGTGCAGTCACTTAAAATCAAGCAGTTAGTGCCAGCCAGTGGCTTAGTGGTTAAGGCAGCTGGTTCTCATATGGCAAAAGCTGCAAATCCCAAGCCCAGTGGCTTGAGAAACACACCAGGTTCATGTACATGTGTGCCCAAAATTCCAAAAGGAGAAATGGAGAAAGGATTACAGGATAACCATCCCCTTTTGGAGTGTGTTGAGGGGTACTTTCTCACTTTCCCTGTTTCTCTCTCTGTCTCTCTCCAGTGAGTGCACATGCCTTCTAGCAAAAAAGGGGAGGGGGGATAGTTAAATATTTATCACATAAAAGTGTTCATGATATTACTAACAGAGAGAGAGAGATGCTAGATAGACAGATAGCTGGACAAAGACAGAAACAAGAAGACCTGAGTGTTTACCAAAGCTTAAGAGTTAGTACATACAGATGATAAAATACTAAATAATATTCAATTTTTCACACTAATTTTCTTCATTGTTTCTATAAAATTTAAAATGAACAGGTAGCATTTTTGGTGTCTATAGTTAATAGCTCTAAACTATATGCTTGAAATGTATTCAATGTTATCACCACAACATGAAACAAAACCAAAAGCAAGGGATATCCAGATGAGGTGATAAAGGTGTTAACTAACTGTATTGTAATTATTTTACCAAATTACTGTATATCGAGCCATCACATTAGATGCCTTAAGATCATAATTTCTTAAATATAGCTCAATAAAGTTGGGGAAAAAAATAAAGCAACAGAGCAAATTTTATTTTGGGAAAACTTTCTAAGATGAGAAAAATAAGGGATGAAGAGGGCCCATTCGAAGTAAAATAGGGGTCACTAATGAAGAAATGTCTCAAAGAGTAACGATGAGAATGCATAAAAAGGCCAAAGCCCTGAACAAGTTACAGAGAAAGTTAAGAGGAGATATTTTACCATGTCGGAAACTGAAAACATGATGGAGAAACAGATCCATCGTTACTGACCAAGTGTATTGTTTTAGCTGAGGAATGACGAAGATTTAAATTATTGATCTTATTTCCGTAGAATGCCCTCATGTATTAGACGTAGCTTAGTGCAGCGCTGCTCCCCTCTGCCTCCTCCTCCTGTGATTTCTTTCCTTTTTCTATGCAAATGGCCATGTGATAAATAAACCATCATATGAGAATGATTATTTTTAATTAAGGCAGTTCGACATTGGCATGAAAGTGAGAAAAAAAAAAATTGGTCTCATGTTCCCAGCAGCAACAAAAGAGCACTGTGTTCTTTTAAATAGAGCTCCTAAAACCCAGATCACTTGTTTTATGAAAGTTCTCCACAATAAAAAAGAGCTGTTGTACAGAGGAGAAGGGAGAAAAAGAAGGAAGAATAAAGAAGGAGGGAATGGGAAAAAGGGAAGAAAAGGGAAGAAGGGGGTGAGAAGGGGTGGGGAACGGAGGGTAATGGAGGGGTGGGGAGGGGAAGAGAGAACAGGAAAGGGAAAAGAGAAAGAAAGAGGGAAGGAGGACAAATGAAGAAGGAAGAAAAAAGGAAGGAAGGAAAGACAGAAAAGAGACACCCTTACTTCTGGAACATCTAATGCATCTATATATTTGAAAAGAGGAAAGAAGGATTGTTACTTTCCTAAAGAGTGCAAGTCCCATATTCTTAAACAGGGTGGGGATTTCTTGCAAAGGTTCATCAAAACCCCGTTTTCCCTGAGCATCAGGAAGTTGCCATCGTTGTGTAGTATAGCACGCTCCGGTTGCCACGTGCTTCCATGGCTCTGAAGGATGCAGCTTACAAGGCAACCAGCAGAGAGGACAGTGCAGCTTCTCAAGTGGCTACAGTGGCTGTTTCATCATGGGCCTTTCTAGGCGAATTTAAGTCTAAGCATCTTGTTTATCCAACTGTATTGAAAAGGGATTTGGGATTCACTAAATGCAAGAGCCTCCTTGAGTTTCTGCAACAAGTAATATCTGCTTTGTGTACACAACCATCTATCCACATTGTAGGCACCAAAGAAGTCCAGATCTCTGCTCCTACCTCTGCAGGCTCTGGTTAATGATTGCTAATTTCACACCTGAGTAAATAATTACATTCGTCTGGGCTTTTTTTTTTTTTTTCCTTTTCCCTCACTTAGAATCTTACCAATAAGAAAATACAAGGGCATATAGTTTTTATTTACTTATTTATGAAGCAACTTCCTAGGAACTGAAAGGCAGCAACAAAAGCTATATCTGTAAATCCTGGAAATAAAAAAAATACGTATCTGAAAGAAGCAGAATTTGAAGAGGATGTTTAGGAGAATGTGAAGGGCTAATGCACATCTGTCTTTGATTTCCAAGAGTAAGTTTACAGTCTGGATATCTGGGGTTTTCTCCCAGCTTGGGGTTCTTCTTGGCTTCTGACTTCTCATTCTTCATGCTCAGCTGATAAGCTGCATGGTGGGTGTTTTGTATGTATGCTACGTGGTGAGCTGCTCCTGTTTTTTGTAATTGCTGCCTGGGTTGCCTCTATTTCTTTGTTAGCACTCATTTCCTGGATGCATTACTATCGCAGAGGGTGTATAGAAATAGACACCCTTAGGGAACCAGCAGTTAGTGTAATGGCTATGTTGCTGGACTCCCACGTAGTCGATTGCGGTTCGCGTCCTGGACCCGGTGGCTTAAAACTCACGCCGGGCACATGTGCGTGCATGCCCAAGATCTCAAGAGGAGAATGGAGGAGAAGGGATTGTGGCATGACCATCCCCCCTGGGGGGCGATTTCTTGCTTTCTGTCTCTATGTCTCTGACTGTCTGGCGAGCGCACATGCCCTATAGTGAAAACCTCTCCAAAAAAAAGAAAAAAGAAATAGGCACCCTTAAAGAGCAAAGAGACTATCTATATCTAAGATCTCATTATCAAAAAGAAAACTGGGGGTTACCAGCAGTTGGCATAATGGCTATGTCGTTGGACTCCCATGTAGTTGACCGCAGTTCAAGTCCCAGACCTGATGGCTTAAACTCCCGTTGTGCATGTGCGTGCGTGCCCAAGATCCTGAGAGGACAATAGAGGGGAAGGGATTGCAGCGTGGCCATCCCCCCTGGGGGGTGATTTCTTGCTTTCTGTCTCTCTGTCTCTCTCTGTCTTTCTGGCAAGTGCACATGCCCTATAGCAAAAACCTCTCCAAAAAATGAAAAGAAAAGAAAAGAAAAGAAAAGAAAAGAAAAGAAAAGAAAAAAGAAAAGAAAAATGGTAAGCACTGAATAAAGATGTTATTACATGGCAGACATTGTGCAAACACGACAGGGGTTTTAATCCTCATATCTGTATGCATGATTATTATT